TGAAACTTGCTTCATTCCCCCCACTTTATAGATCGGACTTACTAAGTCTCCTGGCTGGTGTGGTCACAGGTTCAAGTCCCAGTCAGGGCACATTCCTGGGTTTTGGGCTCTATCCCCAGTAGGGGGCATGCAGGAGCAGCCTATTGCAGGAGGCAGCCGATCAATGATTCTCATCATTGATGTTTCTCTCTCTCTCTCTCTCTCTTCCCCTTCCTCTATGAAACCAATAAAATGCATGTGTGTGTGTGTATATATATATATATATTTTTTTTTTAAGTCTTATTAGCTTCTTCTGTGTATCTCTGAACATGAAATTACCGCCACAGACTCACAGCCTTCCAGCAGGCCCATCTCTAGGCCCCCAGTCTTCTGAGGCAGATAAGAACCCTGGTCGTTTTCATCATCACTGCAAGCCTGTATCAGCCAGCACAGGCCACTCCGAGAATGTTCTCCTCCCCCGCCCCCACTTCCCTGAGAAAACATAGGCAAAATGTCACCAGCCCTGTGGTTATAAATCCACGTACACTTGTGTCTTGCATCTGAGCTTAAAAAACACTTTGGCTCAGTCTTGGAACACATGATTATGGCACAGGGACAGAAAATAAGACTCGCATTAGTAAAACCAACCTAAAGAGATACTGAGTGATAAATTGACTAGAGGGCCCGGCCGGTGTGGCTCAGTGGTTGCACGTCGACCTATGAACCAGGAGGTTCCTGGTCAGGGCACATGCCTGGGTTGCGGGCTCTATCCACAGTGTGGGGGGTGCAGGAGGCAGCCGATCAATGATTTATCTTTCTATCATCATTGATGTTTCTATCCCTCTTCTTTCCTCTCTGCAATCAGTAAAACAAATAAGTAAACCGACTAGAGAAAGCGACAAAGGCATTGAGCTACCTGTTGGATTCCCACAAACATCTCAGCCGTGTTTTTACTTTTCAAAATGTTTATTTGCAGCACCATCGAACATCGGAGGTACGCATACATGACTGGGGGACTTCACTTACAATGAGCACTGAGTTTTTTTCAACTTCATATCTTAGCGTTTTCCTAATCCCCCCGCCCCAAAATGTGACAATTACACTGTGGCATAACATCGCCTGTGGGGACAGAGGGAAGACTAGAAGCAACAAAACTCCACAATACTGTAACATAACTTGAGACCTCCAAACGGGGTCGCTCTCCCAGGAAAAACATCCTCGTCTTGTTGGATTATTCCCATTAGGATGCAAAGCAGGTACCCAGTCTCCGGCCTGGCTTTGGGCCAAGCGGAAATGGTCCATCCATCTAGCAACATTCAAGAAAGTTCCGTGTAAACAAGAAGGTCCAGAATAAAACACCTATAAAGGGAAGTTCCAGAAAACGACACATCTGCATAAACTCCCAATTCCTAAGAACATTTAGATTACATGAGGGGTACGGTGTGAGGCAAGTTCCACCTGAACAACCAATTTCCTAATTCAATTCCTACTTCACTCCTGGGGCTACTCACATGCAAATATACTGAGAGGCGCAAATAGGTGACCATGTGCCAGGGCTATGATGACAATAGACCTGACCATCGGTCAGTGACCATTCCTCGGTCTAAATTCCAAACACAAAGCAGGTCATGTTTCCCCATTTTTTTCCAAACCAGTCCCCCCACCCTTTTTTTTGCAGCCTTCAATTGCAAACGTGTGGAGATACATTTAAAGGCAAGATACTTGCAAAGCAGGAAATGCATTTTGTCCTCTTGGGGAAAAAATGGATAGGATTTGACAAAGGTTAGCCATAAGTAATAAAGACTTGTGTTAACATTTTCCAAACCAGTCCCCCCACCCGTACTAAAAAAACAAACAAACAAACAAACAAAAAAAAAAACAAATCGTCCTTGTTGGATTATTACCATTGGAATGCAAAGTTGTTTGTCAGGGACCAATAACAAGAAACACCATGAAGTTTAAAACTGGTGGAGAGCCCTCACTGGTTTGGCTCAGTGGATAGAGCATCGGCCTGCGGACTGAAGGGTCCTGGGTTCAATTCCAGTCCAGGGCACAGGCCCAGGTTGTGGGCTTGATCCCCAGTAAGGGGCATACAGGAGGCAGCCAGCCAATCCATGATTCTCTCTCCTTGTTGATGTTTCTCTCTTCCCCACTCCCTTCCTCTCTGAAATCAATAAAAATATATTTAAAAAAAAAAACTGGCAGAGAAGTAGGCACCTTGACCCCAGGACCCAATGGTCTGACATCATTGGGTCCCACTTTGTAGTGGGTGCATCAGGTGGAGAATATTCCTGAATTGAAGAGGTCATCACAGACCAGCAAGAGCAATGCTTTTTTCTTCATTTCGTCCCACGTCGTAGTGACGGATCTATACAATCAAATTTGTAAGGCCTTTTGCACAAATTATATTTTTTTTCTTTAAATATCTAAAGTTCTTACATAGAAGATGGCATGATTGTAATTCTTATAAATTATAATTCTTACAATTTACAATGCTTATAAATTATAATTTTTATAAATAGTTTGATCGCCTCTTTTACAATATACAATAAAACAGAGAATTCGGCAGAATTGATTATATTACAAGAATTACTGGGCATTGGCAGGGTTTTTGCCAACAATATCCCTCTAGCACCCTTAGAT